GCAATAATACAAGTCTATTATAGGAACATGGCAAAACATAGGTCTTGAAAAAATGAGGTTGTGATACAAATGAAAAATTATCCTTTTGTAGGTGTTAAGTATTTTCTGTGTCTGAATTTTGAGGGGGGGGGGGAACAAAAGTATGTATAGTAAATCTTGGTTTTTTGGTATCTTCTGCACTCATTTATATTTACTCTTTTATCAGGCAAGAATTTTCCACCACCGCCATCCCCACAGTTTTTATAAAGGAAAGTTCAGTAGTAATAATTTCAAATACATTTTAAATGTGCCATTCTGAGAAATCTCAATGCACTTTATATACCATTTTTAACTTATTATACACTGCTTATAGTCTTATAAACTGCTTCCAGGCATTTCCCAAGATGGAAACAAAGGGAAGAAAAATAATACTTGAATGGATAAAACTGCAGCCTTATAATTTTGTGAGGTACTGCTTAATTTTAATGTACATCTGAAGTATAACAATGACTAACCTATTTAAATAGCTCATCTGTAAATATAGAAAACTTTAGAAGGAAATTGTATGCCTCAAGGCAAAAACTGATTTCTAGTGAGAATCAGTAAAGAATGCAGAAAGGCAAGGAAAGCAAGAAAGAAGAGTATATAGTTAGAAAAAAATGTGAGACCCAGAATGTCTGGATTCTGCACCTGATATAACTTAGACTTCATAGAACATTTAACTGAAAAGTTCCTAATAAATCAAATTTGTACTTAAAGTAATAATGCATCATGTTGTATGAATCTGTTCTGAAATGGGATATGAGGCTTTTAACAGACCAATAGCTTGGTATTCGTAGGGATTGAGGGGAGATTACATTGATATGGAAATAAAAGGGTAATACTAAATGTCTAAAAGTTTCTTTCCTCAGTGGGAAATACCATATAGAGTTTCTTTTTGACCTCTTTCCCAGCCTCAAGAGACTGCAGTTCTTCCTATACTTTGGCATAACTGTCCTGAACTAAGTAATACCAATGGAAAATATGTCCTTTCCACGTATTTCCAATGTGTATCAGTCTTGAAGTATTCTTCCATTATTCTGATGAGAAACTGTACTTAGATTAATACAGAAGAAAGCCTGGTTAGGCTTCCAGTATTATTATGGACTGAAAGAAGCATAAAGGAAAAAAAATCTGTAGCCAAAAGACAGTTCCTGAGCTTTCTTTCACTGCAGTAATTTTCCATCTGATTTCTAATTTCTTGTTTGGTTCTCAGAATTTTGAATTTGTTCTGTTGGGTTTCAGTAAAACTTAAAACCAAAATTAGTTTTATTTTGTTTCTGTTTACATAACCTGTACTGGCTTTATCATACTCAAAGCCAATATTGGAAGACAGTTCTAATTTTTGTAGATTTAATTATATTTTTTGAGACTCCTGATTTACTGATCTTTGATATTTTCAGATAACTGAACAGTTACCTTAGGGTAACTATTTCTCTGAGGATTAAAAGTTATTTTATTTCTTTCAAGGTACTTTGCTTTAAGTGCTACGTCAATTTCCATGCATATTTTTGTGTTTTACTATTGTACTATAAAAGGTTACATTTTCCTTTTTGAAGTTAAGGAAATACTGTCACTGGGAACTTGGATGCTTTTATAAAAACAATGCTGATCATCTAAACAACAGTACCTGTACTTTCTGTGAGACTGAAATAATTTTGTGAGGTTCTGGTATGACATTAATTGGAATTTATGTAAAGCACAGGGTGTAAAAGTGCACATTTTGACTGAAAGTTCCTGTCAGTATGCTCTAATATTGACTCAGAATCCTCAAAGCCCTTTTTGGAGGCTTTCTTTGGAAACCCATCATAGCCTTGGTATTTTTTACCATGTTGGATCTCTGTGTACAGAAGATCGAACTTACTTGAAATGACTTAACAGTCACTATCTAGCTAATGACACCGTAGCAGAGATTTTATTTTACTGCCAGACCAAGTCAGTGGTTTGCAGGTAAAGGTCAAAGGAACTGTGCTTAATCATCCACTTTTTAATAATGTGAATGTTTTCATAGCCTGGAAGAGCCATGCTAATTCTGAAGGTATTTTAATAAAAACAATCTGAAAACACTTTTACAGGAAGGATTGAGAAGAAATTTTAGTTACAATGAGAATCTTTGAAAGACTGGTTAGTACAGCTGTGAGTGTAATCTAAGGTCAGAAACCTGAAAATTGCTGGTTTTAGTGATGAGTAAGTGGCTTTCTTTTCTTTCCCTATTAGATAGAAAATGGTCGGCTGTGGAACTCTATTGTGAAGACCTCAGAAGAAATATCAATTTTTCCAGTCAGCTTTTCATAATGTGAATATAATTTGAGCTTTCCCAAATGGGCAGCTAAACAATGAACAAGCAGAAAAACCCATTTTGGACTGTATTTCTGAACCAGGCTTCACCTTCTGTCTCGGGAACTTATTAAAGGATTACAGCTGAAAAAGACGAGAGAAAGAAAACCTTGAACAGGAAACTTATCCTACCATGAAAATTACAAGTACATCTTGTATCTGCCCAGTCCTAGTTTGTCTCTGTTTTGTGCAGAGGTGTTATGGAGCTGCTCACCATGGCTCCATCAAGGTGACCAGAAATCAAACCAAACATGTAGAAGGCGAAACAGAAGTGCATCATCGTCCCAAGCGTGGATGGGTGTGGAATCAGTTCTTTGTTTTAGAAGAACACATGGGACCAGATCCTCAGTATGTAGGAAAGGTAAGGTCATTGTCTTTTTGGTTTGGATTTTGTTTCTCCCATCCCCTGAAATGTGGCACTGATAGAGGAAAACCAGGTATCTCCTTAGATGGCACCTCCTTTTTTTAGAGGAGGACACCTCTTGGATTGTTACAAATATGCACGGTGAACTTGCCAGTTGTCTATGTATACTTTCTGTGTTTATTACAGAGGAAAAGGATAAATAAGAGTAAACAGGATGAAGATATTAAAATATGAAAAAATAGCATTTCTTCTGAGCTCAGTTAAACATGGAGTGAGTGCAGCTGATCCTCTTATATCCAATTCTAGAACCCCAATTGCACGGAGCTTAAATATGTCCCTGTTAAAGACTTTTCCAGACTATTTCAGAATAAGATCCTGTTCTACTTCAGGGAATATTATACAGTCTAGGCTCCATAGGGTATTCATTCCACTCTGAGGATAGGGTGGAAAAGGACGCCTCTACAGGGAAATCCTCTGTGACTTTCTTCATAAAACAAAGCAGAAGGTGTGTTGCTTGTTACAGTTCGTCAGAAGCCTGTGAGAACAAGCCCTGGATTTATGTTTTGACGTATACAGGGAGCTCAAGGCATAAAGCTCATACTGATGCAGTTGTAGGCTGGCCAGTCTGGTTTATCATGTGTAATGTTGTCTGTATAACTTGGGTTTTGAATCTGCATTAAAATAACACAAAACTGTATATATAGCTTTATTGCAAGATGTATGACAGATGGAGGTTCTCTCCCCCTGAATACTCTTTCAGCATTATGATAGAATTTTTTATTACATAATCTACATGAACCTTAATTTCCTTAATGAAAATGGAGGAAGACATTGAATATGAGGGGTGAAAAAAGTTGATTAATAGGGTTGAAGGCATGGAAAAGAAATTATTTCATTTTAGTTTGCCTTCAAGTTGGGAATCCTGAAAATTATATCATAGAGTATGAAAAATATCGAAGGAAACCAGTAGCTTCTGAAATCACAGATGTCTAGTAGCAAGGGCTTTCAAATTTGAACAGTATCATCTGAACTAAAAATAGCAAGTGGAGCATCTGTACTTAAGATGCTGTTAACACAAAGACCAAAAAAAATTTATTTATTTATGCCAACCTTAGTAAAATACCAACTATTTCAGCACACTGAAAACTGTTGGGATTTGTTCAGGAAAAGTAAACTGAGGAAGGACCTTTCTAAATGGAGATAGTGGGTTGCATTGAAAGAGAAGCCTTTAAAATGGGTAAGGGGATGAGAAGGTATGCTTCCAGACATATCTTAGGCTGATTAACATTTTTATGAATGATTTTGGAATAGAAGAAACATTTCACAAACTTCTTGATGATGAAGAGCTCTGCAGGAGAATCAAAACATTGTCTGGAAAGAGCTAGATAGCATGAATAAGATTTGAATATGGAGATACAGAATAAACCTCAGGACCACAATGTGATAAAGCTCTTACAGAACTGTAACACGAATTTCTGTTATATACTACTGGTTTGTCAGGTGTAAGGGACAGAGGAAGAGAAAGATCTGGTCACCAGATCAGTTATTGCCTCTACTGTCATACCTTAGAGAAGGTAAATATGATACTAAGATGCAAAAGCTGAGACCATCAGAACAAAGTGGTATTGAAGCCACTGTGAAAAATAATGTTAACCTGTTTACTGCTCTGATTACTTCTGGCCAAGAAAAATAATTTTTTATATGAAGCTATACAGAGAAAATTAAATCCTATGGTTGGGGTGGTGGTGGAGAATAAAATATGTTTAATTACTCCCACAAATAATAGGGGAGAGCATGTATTATTTTATAACTACGTATCAGAAGAAAGCACAAGAGAAAGAAAAGTGCTATTTAAGTTGATTCAGCTTTTGCTTGAAAAAATAGGGTTTGGTAGCCATGACTTAATTTAGGATGGCAAAAAGAAAATAAATGAGATCTTGAAAGAATCTTCCGATAGGAAGAGTGGAAACAAAATGCTGAAGGGGTTTCAAGCATGCTTGTCTTTATGAAAGCATTTATAGATGTGATTACATGCAACAACTGAGGCCTGAATTCAGTGAGCTAAAGGATGGTCCTTTCAATTTTATGTTCCTATGATAGCATTATATATTTTGTTTCATCCTCTGACCACTGTATTAATGCAACAATTACAGAGATCAATGAATAGGATTTCTTTTAATCCTTCGTGGTCAGAATGTGACTACATGCCTTGTTTGAGGACATTTCTTCCTCTGTACTTACTAGTTTCTCTCCCCTTTTCCTCAGAGAATTCCCTGTGGTATTCATCATTTTCTACTCTGAGTACTTCACATTAGTAAGCTCATCTTTGCAGAAGCTTTGTGAGACTTAAAAGCATCTGTATTCTATTTACCGTCTTTTTTGTAATGGTTCTGGTGACCTGGTTTACTGCAAAGATCAATCATATTAGCTCAGGCATATATTTTTAATTCAGAAAAAAAGGAAAGTCTGCCTGAGACTGACATAATATTAATAATTAGCAAAATGTCAGTATTGTTCATTGTGCACGAGTTCCTTTTTATTTTGAAAAAAAACAGATGTTTTACTGATGTTGTGTTTAATTGTACACATCTTATCGAGGTCTCATTCTACGTGCCTTTAATTTGACAAGATGTTTTCATGCAAAGCACCTCAATTTATGAAGGCAGGCTATGTGAACATGCCCTTTAATTCCAGGCTTCTGTTTGGTGGCAGCACACTATCAATTCTGTCAATTATTAATTCTGTAGACGACTCTGCTTCAGTAGTGAGAGTTTTGCCATTTGAGATCTGTCCTTTCACATTTTTCACACCCAATTTGGGAGTAACATCACAGAGGCAGAGTCATTATGTACAATGCTGTTATAATGATTACAGTCATTGTCATGGAAATGCACACTGAGGACAATAGGGTAGGCCTGCAATGAAAATGGTAAGGTTTCTCATTCTTATCATGAAATGACTGTCAAGAGGATGGATTAATATACTGCCATCATCTGTTATACAGCAAGTGTTAGGACAACAAGTCATCATTACATTTTAATATCAAGCATATCCCCATTCCTCAGTAATTTCTTTTCTTTAAAATATGTCATTTGGAGAGTGGAAATCTCTAAAAAATTAAGCCATACTCAGAGGGTTTTTATAGGAACATGGCAAAACATAGGTCTTGAAAAAATGAGGTTGTGATACAAATGAAAAATTATCCTTTTGTAGGTGTTAAGTATTTTCTGTGGTTTGGGGATTACTGAATCGGTTCCCTCTGTTGCACTTGAAGTAAGTATTAAATGTTTCAGGGTATGTGTTCCTAAATAAAGAGTTCCAAAACCAGTTTTGTATGAAGAAAAAAAAAAATTCTTTTTCTAAAATGAGGAGGGTTTCTTGAAAACTTCCCAATGATCGGTAGTATCTGATAATGCTAGTTCTGACAGACCACTCATCTGTGGGTGCAAGTATATATGTGTGTGTGTGTGTGTGTGCGCATGCAGTAAATTTGATTAAATGGGAACAAATATCCTTGTCTCAGATAAGCAGCTTGAATCCAGATAACTGATCTTTTATCTATATAAGACTTTTTGTCTTTTGCATCTCTCTGTTGAAAACTATTCTAATGAACACATAGCTGTGAGCACTGAAAGGGGCAGGGCTAGTGAATGCATCTTGGCCTCGTGAGGAGCTGGGTACAGACTGTACCAGCTCAGAGCAATGCACATTCTCCTGAGGAAATGTGGAAAAAATGGTGCTGTAGGGCTTCAAGCTGTAACACTTCTCTGTTGCTATGGCTGATAGAGTTTGCATTTCTCTCGCATTTTCTGCATGCTTCGAGTTTCTATAATGTCAAGATATGGAAAACAAATAACACAAAATAATTTTAGGAAAGAAGAGAAACAGACTACATGTTTCAGTCCATATTTTGTTCATTTTGAACCTTCATGCCTCTTTGTCTCCAGCAGATCCGCTCCTTCTGACATTTTTTAAAAGTGAGTTGTACCAGAATCAGGTCATAACTACATATTCACTGTCCTTTATACTTTGGAGAGAGAAGTAAATGTGCAGTGGTAAAGGGAAGATCAGTGTTGGTTTGAGGGTGAGTGAGTCATCCTATTAGAGGAAATAGCAGAGGAATATAATGAACAAGACTGACACTTGATTTCTCTGCGGACACTTTGGATCTCTGAAATACTGAACATATACCTCTTAGTGCACTTCAGATGCCCTCCTAAGGATACATAGGAATGGCTTTTCAGGCATTCAACTTTGTAGTTTTTTTCAGCTGCATTTTTCTTCACAAATTAAGGGGATAAGGGGAGTGACACTTAGTTCTTACATTTTTACCTATAATTAAAAAAAAAAACATTTTCAGATTTGTGTTGATGGGGGAGATTAGGAAGTATGGAACAGTTCTAAATGAATGTGAATACAGGAAAGGGAAGAGAAAAGTACCAGCTTTTAAAATGTCCTGAAATGATTGTACTGAAATTTGGATTAGGAAAGAAATCCCAGGTGTTATACTGGATTTTCAAGGTAGCAATTATATTAATTGTTTATTTTACTCTTGAAAACAGAAATACAGCATAAAAGATGTCATTCAGAATTCTTTTCCAAAGTAATACAGTGACATGTCATTGCAATAAGTGAGTTCTAATACAGAAGAGTGAATCTAATCTTTCCTGATCATATCAAGACAATTTCATATCTCAGGTTTAATGACAGTAATGGGAAAATATGTATACTTCAGAATAAGTCCTAAGGAAGAAACAAAACTGGTTTTACAATTAAAATGTTCATATTCAATGTTAGAAGTTCACATCAAATAAAGCGTATCAGATGTTTCAGCATTTTGAACATAAGCAAACACTTCCAAAATTTATTCTGATAAAAAGGTGTTTTTCTTTTGTGATAAAGAAAATGGAAAGGAAAGTGTAGATGTTATAGTCTAAAGATTTTGCACATGGGTTATTAGTCATTTTCATGTCTGTAAAATGATGTGCAAGTGGCAT